TGCCCAAACCAGTGGTGGATACCTACGCCAGTGGCCATGTGATCTTGTCAAGGGCTGAGGCTGACCAGAGCCCAAGCGCGTGCGGAGCGCGCGTGGTTCTGGCATCTGTATTCTGCGTCTGCGTGAGTGTGTGTGTGTGTGTGCGTGTGTGTGTGTGTGTATGCGTGTGTGTGTGCGTGTGTGTATTTGTGTGTGCGTGTGCGTGTGTGCGTGTGTGTGCGTGTGCGTGTGCGTGTGCGTGTGTGTGTGTGTGTGTGTGTGTGTGTGTTGTGTGTGTGTGTGTGTGTGTGTGTGTGTGTGTGTGTGTGTGTGTGTGTGTGCGTGCGTGCGGCGTGCGTGCGTGCGTGCGTGCGTGCGTGCGTGCGTGCGTGCGTGCGTGCGTGCGTGGTGCGTGCGCGCGTGCGCGTGTGTGTGCGTGCGCGCGCGTGTGTGTGTGTGTGTTGTGTGTGTGTGTGTGTGTGTGTGTGCGTGTGAATGTGTGTGTGTGAGTTCGTGTGTGTGTGTGTGTGGTGTGTGTGTGCGTGTGTGCGTGCGTGCGCGTGCGTGCGTGCGTGCGTGCGTGCGTGCGTGTGCCTGTGCCTGTGCCTGTGCCTGTGCGTGTGCGTGTGCGTGTGCGTGTGCGTGTGCGTGCGTCTGCGTGTGCGCGTGTGCATGCGCGTTGCTGCTTCTCTCTCTCGTTCCCCCTCCGCGTCTCGGCGTCGCCGCCCCCGCCGGCTGCCCGCGCTCCCGCCGGGAGGGCCGCGCCTGCCCGGGGCACTGCCCGGGCAGGCGCCCCGCGGCCCGCGTCCCCGCCCCGCGCGCTCGCGCCGCCGGGCCGCGCCGCCCTGCGCCGCCCTGCGCCACGTGCGCGCCCGCCTCCCGCCGATCGTGGGCGCTCGCGTGCCCGTGGCCACGGGGGTGCGGGCAAAGCTCGTGTCCACATCCGCTGCAGCTTGGGGTCTCGGGCTCCCTTCCCCAAGAAACCGAGGAGCACCGGATACGGATAGAAATCGGGCCCCTGCTAGAGGCTCGAATCTTGTCCATATCCAGTGCGCCTCGGCCTTGCGGCGCCCCTTCCACGAAAGTCCAAGACGCCCTGTATATGGATATGAATATGGCCCGCAGGAGGGCTGCATCCGCGGCGTCCCCCATTTGGGACGACCGAAATGGATACGGAAGGAATGGGTACAATGCCCCACAGCAGTTCCTGTTCATTCTGAACAGGACTCGCTCTCGGTGTCACCGCGGCCTGTGTCCATTTGAGACAAAAGGCCGCCTGCCTGACAGCAGCCGCTGCTGGTTTCGGGCGACATTTGTTGTAGAACAGTGTACCCATTCTTTCCGTACCCATTTCGGGCGTCCAGACCCATGGCGGTTGGCGCGCTGCTCCTGCACAGGTCACGACGAGGTGTGTCCCTCGTCCTGCGCCGTTCTCCAGGACGTCTGTCGCAGGCCCGGAGGGAGACTCCAATACCAAAATCGGCGGTGTGCTTCCACCGAGGGAAGATGATCCCGATCTCGGCGATGGTGGCAATACTCGGGCTTTCTAGGTGGCCGACAGACTACCACCAACACCAAAATCCAGGATCATCTTCCTCCCGTGGAGGCAACCCCTGGTGTTGGTGTTGGTGCCCATTTCCAATATTCCAAGCCTGGCCACATCCACAACACTGGTTGTAACGAGCACGGTTGCATCCCTCGCGCGTTCGATCGCGGTGGTGGTGTCGCATCGCCAGCGGAGAACGACGTGTGCGTGCATGTTGTGCCACGTGTGTCAGTGTGCCGTCTCCGTGGGTGATTGTGCGTATGCGTGCTTGTGTGTGTGCGCCGCGCGTGCGTTATTTATTCCTTTATTTATATATATATGTATATATATATATACACATCTATATATATATGTATATATATATATATATATGTGTGTGTGCCTTGACTTCGTGTACCGTGCAGGGGTGTGCGTCTGCCGTGTGTGTGTGTGTGCGTGTGTGTGTGTGTGCCATGTGTGTGTGCGTGTGTGTGTGAGTGTGTGTGTGTGTGCCATGTGTGTGAGTGTGTGTGTGTGTGCGTGTGTGCGTGTGTGTGTGTTTGTGTGTGTGCGCCTCTTCCACCAGCGCTGTCACTCTGCCTAGCCGCCTACGCAAATGTGTGTGTGCGCGCGTGGTTGAGTGATTGTGCGTGCGGAGGTCTCCAGTCGCGGCCCGCCTTGCGTCGGATCCACCGGCCGTGAGAGGAAAATGTTGTGTTTGTGTGTGTGTGTGGGTATGTTGGCGGTGGGTCTGCTGAGTTGCACCTCGACCGCAGTCTCCCCCGCGCGTGCCAACTTTGAGTTTGGGGGGCAGGGGGGGTGTTTATGCCGAAACTCGCTTCGTGGTCTTATACATCCCTAGCGCTCCTCCTTCGCCTCTGCCTCCTCGCCCCGTTCCTACTCCGAGTCTTCTTAGCAAGCCGTGCGACCTTAATGTTAATGTAGTCGATGTTGTTGTGGTTGTTGGTTGGTGTTGATGGCCGTGGCGGGGTACTG